ATAATAATAATAATAATAATAATATGCTTTATTGTACACCAAGCGAGTAATTATACAATATCAAGAAATTACAGAAAATAAAGAGGGTACAAGGGCGGCCTTATCGCTAAAAGCGATATCTACCAGGCAACCTTTGGGTGTATGGAGCATTGATTAATTTAAGAGGGTAGTCCGATGGCATACATAAATATTAACTACTATCATAACAAATATAACATACTAAAAATTAAAAGGATAGGCCCTCGATGACTGGTTGCAGTTTTTGGATGACATCATCCACAGCCTATACGTATCCTGCTGCTTGGCGACTGGGCTTCACCCAGTTGTACAGTCTCTTCTTTGTGCCTTTAGGCTTAATTCATTCTGTCTCCTGCAGTAATTCACCGACGGAAGTGAAAACCATAGTTTTTTCTTCTTCTCCTCTTATAATATCTTCTGATTCACTTCGTTGCGGGAACCAAGACAGTTACTCATGTCCCTGGGACGCGCCGGACTTCAGTGTTCTGGTGTTTTCATGGTTGTATCTACTGTAGATCCTGGCTTACAGGAGTTGCAGCGGTTTTGGGAGGTTGTGGCGGGCTTGTCCCATAAAAAAAAGCCTATACGTATCCACTGCCGAGCAAGGGTCTCGTTGCACACCGAAAGAGAATCATTAAGCACCATGCTGTGTTTTAGGTCATAGCCTTGTCTAAATAGTTAATAACTTAGTTACAACAATAAAGATTGGACAAACACACTGAAGCGGAAAACTAGAATTTTATGTTCTCTACAACTTCCGATGCATAGCAACACGTAATTTAAGGGATACTTAATGTTTTTTTAAATGTTACGAAACATTGTTTTATCGAATTCCATCGGTTGTTCTCTCGAACTAGTTGTGTAAAAGAAAAAATGTACTTACGAAAACAGTTTTTAACTGCTATGATAACACAGAAAAACCTTCCAATTAGGTACTCGCTTTCATCAAAAATAAATTATTTCGACTGTTCAATACAATAAAATATTATAAAACTAGATACTTCCGCGCGGTTTCACTCGCTCTGCTAGGCACCTATTAATCGTAGCTTATTAATATTTTATAGCCTATAGCCTTCCTCGATAAATAGGCTATCCAACACAGAAAGAATTTTCCAAATCGGACCAGTAGTTTCGGAGATTAGCGCGTTCAAACAAACAAACAAAAAACAAACTCATCAGCTTTATAATATTAGTATAGACAATTTCGTTATGATTGATTTTATGACCAACTTAATATTTTTTTTTGCAAATTTTCAAGAAATAAAGGATGATGTTTGACGCTAAAAAACGTGACGTCACAATACACAATCTCGTACAAAAAAAATTCATAGAAAACTGTCGTTTTTGACAGTTCGAAAAAAGTATTGAATTTGACTAGTTGGCAAATACCCAATTAATCTAATTTACTAAAATAATTATAGTTAAGTATCATTACACAATTATATTGAAAACAGAATACAATAACTTTTTGACAAAGAATACTTTGACAGTTCTATTTTTTTTTAAAACACTTTGCCGTCGGAATCTTGCCGCGCGCGTTTCTTTATTTTTTATTTAACAGATTCGTTGAGTAATAATTATAAAAAAAAGAAACATAGAATAAGTATTGTTCAGACAGAAATATCTGCAGGTAATTTGACTAGAAATCAGAGTTACGTCACTGAATGTTTAGAAGATACGGCATTCGTACTTCGGTGGCTGGTCGCAGATTATGCTTCACTGGCTACTTTCGCGCAGTTTCACTCGCTCTGCTCAGCTCTTATTGGTCATAGCGTGATGTTTTATGGCCTATAGCCATCCTCGATAAATACGGTATCCAACACAAAAAGAATTATTCAAATCAGACTTGTAGTTACGGAGATTAGCGCGTTCAAACAAAAAAACTAACTCTTCCGCTTTATATAATAGTATAAGATGATAAATATCCAGGTAAAACAAAAGAGAACATTATTAATTAACAGCCTATAAGTGCCCACTGTTAACCAAAGCCTTCTTACACGGTGAAGGTTTGAGCATTAATCACTACGCTTGCTCAATACAATATTAAACTTACAATTAGAAATTATAAGCCCAGGTTTCCTCACGATGTTTTCCTTCACCATTTATCAGTGGCGTCTAAATAATCTTAAACAATGCAAACTAAATTAATTAATCAAAGTTTTTTAAAATTAATGGTTTTTTTTATTTTAATTGAGACTAACGTTTGACCACTATCTCGCCTGGTGGTAACCGACGATGCGGTCTACGATGGAGCATGTCGACCCATAAGCAACCTATTCACTCGGGCCTTGAAGAATAATCTTTAGACACTCTATTAAAATTATTAATTTTACAACAATTCGGGCAAAGATTCTTCCGATTGATACTTACAATAGAATTTGTTTAATGTCGCATGTCGTATAGATTTTATTAAACAAGGATTCTAAGTATCAATTTACCCTTTGAGTATTAGTTCCGATATCTAGTGATTTAAGGAACTTCCACACTTTCGCCGGATCACTACTTTCAACTGATCTATGAATGTGTTGGCGTTTGGCATTCCTTCACACCTTTTTGCACTGATTTCTAATCCTGGTGTGTTTTCCCTATTGCTGTCACTAGGCTGGATCTTAAATTTAAACTTTTTAAGCCATCAGTGTTTTTATCTCGTCAGTCAACCAAGGTGCTGGGAGATACTTACCTACTTAACCCTGACGGCTCTTTAATCTTACCTTAGGTAAATATCTCTTTATTCTTACCTTTTAACTTTTAAATTATTTATTACACTGCCAAAGATACACAAAATCGTTTATCCCTAAAAAGAAACTAAACGTAAATGAATAAAAAAATGGAAACTCTTTGTCTATCCTTTTTTAATGTCTCCAATATAATGACCTGTCACACGAATACCTAACCAATTAAACACAGAAGTTAATAGGAATATTATTTACAAACACACCAATAACATAAGTCAATCAGTCAAACCTAAATGGAAATAAATAAGAATTACCTTATTAGAATCCAATAAGAACAGCGTTTTGAAGCTAAAAACCATTACTAAACATACACAACACTACCATATTACAATACAATCACTGAAACACCATTATATTATTTTAAATTTACGCAAAAACCAAACGTCACTACGTCACATAACGTTCGGTTCACCACCGCACTGTTCCAACAAAAAAACTAAACGAAAATTAAAAAATTAAACTGTCATTCTTTAATTAATAATCATAATTTATTAAAATTTGTTAAGTTTTATACGTTATCGCGTGGCGATCGTCACCGGTTGACTGACAGGCGATGCCATGTCTCGCTCCCTCGCTTCCAGAGGGATAGGGGACGGGAGGGCGACGGGAGGGGGGAGTAATCCCGACTGAGGTGAGCGATAACAACGTACACCATTTTGACACCAATTTTTATAAAAGGTTATTATAAGGCTGTATGTGAAAGATGCCTGTACCTGTTTTTATTATAGATTTTTTTTAATGACATAACAGTTCAAATATTTGACCTTTTTTGATAGGTAAGTAGACTAATGTATTTCAGTCTTACAGCCTTGTGACTATGGAGGATCATTACCTTTTTATTATCAATTTATTCAGTCAATCTTTTATTATAAGATAATTTGGAACCATCGAACGAAGAAATATATTATGAAAGAACGCTTCCCACAAAAGATTAATTACTTACTAGACACAGCAGTGTTATTATCTAATTACAATGAATTCTAACTCCAGATTAAATAGGAGAACCTATGAACATTTAACATCATCTAAAAATGACACTACAAGTTTATAATGCAGATATAAATAAAAGCAGTATTAAGGCAGCAGAACAAAGTTTCAACAAAAAAAAAAACAATAATTTTACTTCATAAATTCATTCAATATCGAGTAAATTCCTTCGATAGATGCTAATTTCCTATGATAGCGTCATAATATGTCCGTCGTCACTGACAGAATCATTATACAGCCTCAGCTGCCTCGGACTAAAAGCAACGGGCACTGGAAACCAGTTTTCAAGTACTTTTTTTTTCAAGTCGTTTGCATTTTGACGTTTGCCACTTCCCGCCTCCGCGCGCCGAGCCCTCTGATTGGTCGGCGGCCGCCCAATAAGCACGGAGTAAGCACGTTCTATTATATTCGATTTTTTTTTTGAAATTTGAATTGACTTAATTCATTTTTTTTAGAACATCTTTGTAATGTGCTCTATTTCAAGTCGCTTCATTTTTTTAGAGTAATGTATGGACGCGATGTTTAGTTATTGGTCACACACAGTCACAATAAATTATTGCTATCATAGTGATTGATGCGCATTCCTTCTCCGTATGAGAAGAGGCCTTGGCCTTTATTGATACAGATATAGGTTGAAAGTGATGATATATTTTTTTATTTTTTTTTTTTAATTTTGATAGGAAGTATTTATTTACGTATTAACTCGTCGAGTACCGGTTTTGTAGACACAATTATAGAACAATAGTTTGCGGTCACCGGTGACCGCTTGGTGTTTGACAGTTTAACAATAATTATAAGGAAAGGAAAAAATAGTTAATCTTTTAGGATGTTTTAAGGGGGGGGGGATTTTTGAATGACTTCCTGGGTAGGTGGGAGGGGCTCCAGTTCAATGCAGGAGTAGTAATGGAAACCACCTCGTTCCACTTTCTACTATCTACCATCACTATTATCATATTGGGGATGTGTTACACGTTGTGATTTTCCATAGCATTTTTTTAAAGGAAGAAAATCATCCAACGACTTCTCCCGTCTGGGTGAGGCGAGAGGGAATGTCAGACTCTTACTGACTGAAAACAACATCATTCCTACTCCTGCACTACAAAAAAAAGTCAAAGCATTTATTTCGATTAAACCATAGATACTTTGGTACTTTTGAAACGTCAACAAATATTTGAAACGTCAGTTTGTAGAGGTAGTAAGCTTGATTACATAAATCGCGCTTAATACTTATATGTTTTAAATTTACTTTCATTGAGATCTAGTATGCTATTTGGTATTTTATTATACCTAGCACTAGCTTGTACCCGCGGCTTCGCTCGCGTCACAAAAGGATAAAAAGCCAATGTGACATATACCAATACACACAGCGCCATCTATACCAATACTTTTGTTTTCCCTCGGGAATATTAAATTTTTTCGGGATAAAAAGTACCCTATTATTTAATCCGGACTTCTAACAATACATCTGCAAAAATTCAAAGCAATCAGTTTAGTAGTTATGACGTGAAAGCGGAACAAACAAACAAATTTATTTAATACATGACCCCATAAAGGATTTCTGTATCTTGGACAGTCTGAATAACGGTATAGCTAAGTTATTTTTACCTCTAGTATTAAAATTGTGTCTATCGCGTTTTTTTTTTCAGCCTCCGAGCCTCATAGCCAGAGCCCCGGTAACTCGTGTTCTCCGCGTCCTCCGCGGCTCCGTAAACTCCTACGGGTATAGGCGGCGGCAATTGTCTAGTTTCCTACATTTAAAATAAATTGTTTTAACTTTTCAATGCAATAAATAATTAAAAAATAATCATACTCTTATACATCGATTTGACAATTTATCTACTTTTGGATTTTAAGGACATAAGTATGCTATTCGACCTTCGATCAACAATAGCAACTAGATAACGGGTTACGTACAAAATCAAGCTCCAGTTCTGTCCGTGTGAATAATAATAGTAAAACGATAACAACAGAGAAAAATGTTTTAAAATAGTTTTAAGTTCAACCTAATAACAACCATCGCACCTAATAATATAGTCATAAATCGTCAAAATATTATGTAATACTTACGACCATTTGTCACATAAGACGAGAAAAGTATTTTCTTACTCCTGTCATGTAGAAATTAAAAGACATAAGTTATACAATATCTAGTTTGAATTCAACCTTAATATTGAACAAATAAAGATAATTTTTCTATTATTGTCTTGCGATCTATATCGTTTTGTTTTGTTTCGTTTTGCTTCTTCAAATTTCGAATTTTGCTACAGGAGGTACGTATGGAGTCGCGTTGGACACTAAAACAATTTTATAATATGAAAATTAAGATTTCGGGATCTTAGTATAGGTACTTACATCACTTATTTCTATTAGCGGTACGTTTTTGTGTATGATATGTTTATTTACTTTATTAAAATTACTTCATTAAAAGTCTAAGTCAAAATCATTTATTTCAGTTAGACCAGGAAGGCACTTTTGAACTTCAACATTATAAATTTAAAAGTGAAGCTAATTGCTCATTCCAAGGTGTAGATTCCTATGGAGAAGAACGAGCAATAAACTCCATAGGTTAGATACTAATTTCCAATCAGGTTACAATACAATTTTATTTTCCAATACATATGGACTCCATGCATCCACTGTTCTGTTTAAACAAATGTTGGCCAAGGGATCGCCAACACACGCACAAACATTGGTGGCGGTGGTTTATAATTGGTAATTTTGACTAATTTGATATTATTTTCTAGTTTAAAAGCTTAAAATATATCTTATATTTTATGTACTTATCAAAAGTAAGACACTCCGGCCGTTATACTGCTTTTTCGGTTATTATTTTTGCAACTTGCAATAATGCACTGCGGCATCGTGAGACGTGAGTACGTTGGCCGTGTTTGGAGCATACTAAACAAAATAAGAGCTCACTTCTCAAGTGAGCTCTTATTTGTCGAGACGGTTTTCTTGCGCCGACCCGATATCTAGTTGTTATTGTTGATCGAAGTAATTCAAGAACTATAAAACAAACGAGAGACAATAAATCTTTTGAGTCGCTCTTAACATGACCTCGGCCTTAGAATATCAATCAGCCTTAATAGGGTATAGTTTGGACGTCGGATCAGCTTTCATTTGACAACAAAGACAAAGTTATCTATCTAGGTCATCTGGAGAAAACTGTCTAATAGTTAAGGTGCCCTGGATAAAGGAGCTTTAATTGAAACTTGCTCAATAAGTCATTAATGATTTAAAAATGTATTTTGTAGTTAAATCTATGAGATAGTTATTGCTCAAAAAAACAGTGCATTCAAGTGTAGGAGAGCCATGCTTCGGCACGAACAAACAGAAAACCGACGTGAAACAACGCTTGTGTTGTGTTTCCTCGTGTGAGTGAGGTTACCGGAGGCGTTCGAACCGGAGTTACAATTTTTTTAACACAGTAGCATCATACAGCACACAGAACCAAACCAGCACTAACTAGTTATTTAAAAGATAATTTTAATAGTCTCTTTCTACTTTCATAATTTCCTTCACGACTTCCATTTTCACTTTCCCTTTAACAAAATTTTTATTTATTTTTGGCATTGCATAAAAGTCTATTTATGACAATAATGACATATTGGCGTTGGCTAGTTGACAACCGTTGGCGCCATTGTTGAATAATGGCCACGGAATTACGTATGACACTCGCACGTGTTTCGATTCAATTACAAAGTGAAATATATATGTTTTTATAATATTGTATACATAATCAAATTACATATTTTGTTGGCATATAATATAATATAATTTTTAATATAATTTTATTTTATTCATAAGCACTTAATACAATATATCAACAATAGTTTTGGCTATAATATTTTTACAGGTATGTGATTTTAGCTTCTGTAGTCGAACTAGGCATTGCCTGTATTTCGACTATCAGTGCCCAACCCTCAAACGTACAGATAATTTCAGCCTTTCTAGTGTCAGTTATATAATATTAATTTTTGTTTAAAGAAAAATTACAAGAATAAGATAAAAAGTAATAACATAATAATTAATACAGAAAATTACTACAAGAAAAATAATAATAATAAAAAAGGAACTTTCTCAACGCAGATATTAACTATTTTGGCCATTATGTGTATGTGTGGGTGTGCTGTGTGTGTGTGTGTGTGTGTGTGTGTGTGTGTGTTTGTGGGTGTGTGCGCGCGTTTGTTTATTTCACATTAATTTGTTCAGTAGTTGTTCAGTTTCCTCGTAATTTAGTTTTTGTAGATATTTTTTTAGTTTTATTTTACATTCTACTTTGGTTAGTGGGTAGATGTTTAGGATTTTATTTAATTTGTTGTATAAGTATGGTCCGATGTGGTCAGCAAATCTTGAAATAAAATTATTTTTACTGTGTTGTGGAGTGCTGCATACCTTGTATCGTCGACGTTTAGTCAACTGTTGGGAATTGTAGACCAGTTTTCCGTGTTGTAGAAGAGTAGTATTCAGTATAAATAACTGCCGAACAGTAAGGACATCGCAGATTTGATATAAAGAAGTCGTTGGGTGGTAAATTGGTTTTGCAATAGCAACCTTCAGCACAGCACGTTGAGTAACTTCAAGGGAT